CCAAAGTGCCTGTGTTCTACCTTGGGAAGTGTAGCTGCCACCAACTATGACCATCAATGCTCCCATATGGTGTTTTTTTTTTGTTGTTGTTGTTTTTAAAGATGACCGGTAAGGGGATCTTAACCCTTGGCTTGGTGTTGTCAGCACCACGCTCAGCCAGTGAGCTAACCGGCTATCCCTAAATAGGATCTGAACCCGTGCCCTTGGTTAGCAGCACTGCACTCTCCTGAGTGAGCCACGGGCCGGCCTTCCCATATGGTGTTTTGAGAAGCATTTGTCAACATCCCCTTAGACTACATTCTCACTGAGAGAAGAGCCCTGTTACTCTCTCCATAGCTCTCACCCATCTCAGCATGATAATCTTCATATAATAACAACGATGACTAACAGTTACTGAGCACTTGCTCTATTCCAAGGACATTACATGAAGCATCTTACTTAATGTTCTCACTAACATGATGAGGTAGATACAATGCAATCTGCTGTAAGAGCTTAGGTAACTTGCCCCAGGTCACACAAACAGTAAGTGGAGGAGCTGGGATTTGAACCCAGGCAGCCAGGTGTCAGTGCCATGCCCTGCATTACTGGGCTGTGCAGTCTCACCGAGGGTAATACTGTGTTGGGAGGCTTTCTTGGGAGATGAAACAATTTGACTCTCATGCCAAGCTTCCTTGCTCCGGGACAAGACCTGGAGATGGTGGAGCATAGCAGGAAATTGGGCAGGAAGTTTCATTCTTGACAGTAATAACTCAGATCATTCAGGTAAGTCCACAGTTGCCAGATACTTTTCATGTGCATTATTTCATTTGATCACCAATTATTTCACTAATGAGGAAACTGAGTCTCAGAGAGGTTAAGTGACTTGCCCAAGGCTACTCAGTTAAGTAGAAGCAGAGTAGGGACTTGTACCAGGTCTTTTGACTGATACTACATTCTGCAGCCGAAGTATAGTATCTGATTGTTAAATGCAAGGGGAGGGAACACCAAGAGGGGTTGGGAGAGAATAAATGTAACTGATGTACACCGGATCCTGCACTGGGAACAGAAGACCCTATTCCTTAACCCTCTGACATTCCTCTTCAATTTCATTTTCTGAAATGATTGTTTTATAGCCTCCATTCTTTGAACACCCACACAAATCTGTAATCACTGATTCCGTCACTTCTTTTTGACTCTAAGTTCCATGAGGGCAGTGTCCTTGTCTGACTTAAGCACTACGATATCTCTGGTGCCCACCGTAGATCCTGATATAAGCACTCAATAAGCATTAGCTGAAGTAGTGAATTAATGAATGAATGAAAGGGAGTGGGAATTGAGACCCAGGAAACCTGGATCACTTGTCTCAATTATCCCATCTCTTATCCTTATTCTAAAGAGAGGCACTAGTTAAAAAAGTCAGATGATCTGGGTTTGAATCCCAATTCCTCTCTTATTAGCTGTTGGATTTGAGCAAGTCATTTAATCTTTCTAAATCTCAGTTTTACTCTTTAATACAACTAGATTAATAACAGAACCCATTTCAACAAGTCATCAGAAGGATTAGGAGACAAAAGTCATGCAGAGATATTAGTGCATTATGGGATACTTAGCAAAGGCCCAATAAAGATTATTGCTGCTGATTTATAAGGTTGCAATGAGAACTAAAGAAGTGAAGAATGTGAAAGGGCCTTCTAAGTCATTTGTTATTGATGTAAATTCTTCACACTCTGAAGGAAATTTAGGGCAGGAAATGAGTCTACTGAATGAGCGAAGGGGAGAAAAGTTTGAGGACAAAAGAAGGTATACTTTAGCTCCACTCGTTAAAAGTACAGTCGTCCCTCATTCTCCATGGGGGATTGGTTTCAGGACCTCCCTTGACTACCAAAATCTGTAGATGCTCAAGTCCCTGACATAAAATGATGTACTATTTGCATATAACCTAAGCACATTATCCAGTATACTTTAAACCACCTCTAGATAACTTATAATACCTAATAAAATACAAATCCTATGTAAATAGTTGTTATATTGTATTTTTTAGGGAATGGTGACAAGCAAAAAGTCTGTACATATTCAGTACAGACACAGTTTTCTTTCTGAATATTTGTGTTTGTTTATTTTTATTATTACTATTATTTTTTAGCAGCTGGCCAGTACAAGGATTGAACTCTGGACTTTGGTGTTATCAGCACCATGCTCTAACCAACTGAGCTAACCAGCCAGCCTCCCAATTTTCCCTAATATTTTCGATCCACAGTTTGTTGAATACATGGATGTGGAGCCCACAGATACAGAGGGCCAACTGTAATTGGCCTCTTTATCATTCTCCCAGGCAGGGGCTGACTAGCTTCCTGGGTCAGGGTCTTAGAAAATCAAGAACAACTTGGAAATTTTGAAGAAAGACCAGGAAAGGGCAGAGAGCCAGCATGTAAAGGGACAGCAACTGGCCAGCTGCCAAAAAATAAAATAAAAATAATAAATGTACAGAAAACAGGAACCATGAAGGGGAACCGAAGGAAAAGGAATCATTTGCACTAGAGAAGAGGCCAAAGCAAGAGGACTAAGGGTTTTCCATTTCTACCGAGGACAAAGTTGATAGCATGAAGAATTTCCCGAAAGTAAAGGATATTAAACACAAGCACAGTGGAGGAAAGGCGACCTGCGAAATCTTTCTGAGAGAACTGGTTTTACAGAGGAGATCCCTATCCTGTCTGGGCAGGACATAGATGCTGTTCTTTGGAAGGAGTGGTTAAATGAGATGATTGGGCAGCTGGCCAGGATAGGGATGGACTCAGCTTTCCCTATGTTAGGCAGAAGGCTGCTTGTTGCTGGACATTTATAAGCCTCCCTCCCTGCCTCCAATGTTCGGTGCCTCTCAACCTGGTTCTACTTACCGCTGTCTGAAGGCTCATGGCGGTCAATGAGTTCCAGAGCAAGGTCAGAAGCACGGTCTCTTTCTTTCTGCTCCTCTCGGAGGAAATCCACAAATTCCAGCAGGGTTAGCTTCTGCCCATCAGCTGAAAAGCTTTCAAATAGTTCTTGCACCTCAGTACGCTTAGTCAATGCCTTATAGAACTGTACGAATTCATCTCCTTCCAGAGTCCCAGACTGGGATATGTCTGCTGCCTGCATGAGAGGATTTAGGGGAGAGAGGCCCAACCCTTTAACAGAAAATTTTATGATCTTGACTCGCCCTGTAAGACCAATCTTACTGACAGATCCAAACATATTTCTCCCACAGAGCTGTCATTTAGTGTTCATAGAAGCTACTTCAGTAAGTAAAATGCAAAATTTCAGCCACACCATTTGCTACTAGAAAAAATTTTCAACTAGAAAGAGTTAAATCTCCCAAAGGTCCCTGAGAGATTAGAAGATCCCTCCTCCTAATTACTCACATTCCAGGTGGGGTTTTCCATTGTACTAGGCACCAGTGAAATTCTGGTCATGGACAGAGATGTCCTTTAGGTCCAACATAACATTGATAGTTACCTTTCATAGGATTATGATATCTTTCCAACAAGACTGAAGGGCAAGAATCATGCTCTACACTTCCCATTGAGCCTGGTGTTGTGCTAGGGCACATAGTAGTGATTCAACAAATAAGTGCTGCTAATTGGGCTCAGAGGACTTCTGGCCAAGTGAAAATGGGGCTTGGCTGGTTTGTGCAAATCCTTCCCCTGGAGACTCACCTGAAAAAGACTAAAGGCATGTTCTTGATCCATTTCCACATTCATCAGGTGTAGTAACCGCTGAACTTCTTGGAAACTCATCCGACCATCCTGGTTTTTGTCTCCACGTTGGAACCAGTCATTCAGCCATCCAGGTCTGAGTCAAGGCAAAAGTACTATATGTGTGTGTTTGTGTGTGCAGATATGTGAGCATGTTCATTCATTGACATCTGTTCCCTATCTTTGCTGTCAGTCTCTCCCCCATGCCAATCCATTCTCCACAAAGCTTCTAGAATAATCTCTTCAAAGAACCAATCTATCCAAAGACTACATGGCTCAGGGGATTTCAGGGACCTCCCTGTTGCCTGCAGAAAGAAATCCAAATTCCTTAACATAGAAATTAAGATCCCCTTTGCCCCTGTGATCTGGGCCCAACTTAGTCTTCTCAATACATCTCTGTCTTCCTTGTACTTTAGCTAGACTCAGCAACTCCCTGTTCTCTGATGTCCCACTTGCTCCTGCTCTTAAATTTCCTTTCTCTGGGCTTTTTTCATGTTTCATGTTGTTCCCTCAGGCTGGAATGTGTCTTTCCCTCTTCCTCTGTTCATGCTCAAATTCTATTCATTTGCGAGGCCCAGCTCACATGCTATTTCTTCCCTGAAGCTTTCTCAGAACCCTTGTGTAGAATTAAATATCCTTCTTTGAACACCCTCAAATAGTCTAACTACCATAACACTTCTATGGCACTTACATTATTTACAAAAGTTCATTCTTTCCACTAACTGAAGCAATATCTGAGTCTTATTAATCTTTGTACTCCTAAAGCATGGCATAATGCCTGATACATTCTGCTTAACAGATGGTGAGTGAATCAGTGAACTGGCACACAATCCAGGACTTGAAGTGAGTCTGTACCACTGAGCCCTCAAAGAGGTTGCTTTCCACCCTTGTGGTAGCTTATGCCACTGAAATCTTGTGTTCAGCTCTCAGGAGCAGCACCTTGTTTGCTTCTCTTCCTGCAATCCTGGGGGTCCTGATTCATTCCCAGACTCTGCCTGGCTGTCTTTGCCATCCCTAGATCCATTCCTCCCTCAGTATCCTCAGCATCACATCAGTCTGAGCTGTCCTTACCCATGCCATCTGGACCCTTGGACCTCCCTAGCCCTGCAGCTCTCCCCACCTTCCCTAGTCTTGCAAGCAGCTGGCTCCTTCAGTGACCGCAGCCCCCACTCTCACTCCATCCTGTAGATACTGGTCCAGCCGCTCCTGTTGGTCCATGCTGATGACAAGGTCCACCAACAGCTGGAGCCCTCGCTTCCAGATCTGGGCCTCCTCAACACTGTTGGCTACCAGGTCCAGGTTGGAGCGGCGGCCATGGAAGACAATGGTGAAGCCCTGCTCCAGGGGGAACTCCTCTGCCAGGCTGCGCAGCAACTCAGAATCATGGCCCTTTCGCACTGTCTCCACATCAGAGATTGAAACTGCCGGAAAAGAAGCAGGTGGAAGCACTGAGGAAGGGAGTCTGATAAATTGCAGGGGCTAAGAGTTAAGGACCAGCACCCCCTTCTCTGTGAAGCCATAGAGAGAAGGAACCCCAGTCTCTACAGGTTGAGTCCTAAAAGCATTTGTACAGGGAGATGCAGACTCCTGGGATTCAGGAGTCTACCTAAGTCATTGATGTTTCCATAGGCAGCATGGCAAGGGGCCTGACCTGGCAGTGGCAAGACCTGGCTTCTAGCCACCAGTTGGCAGGTGACACAAACCAAAAGGACTTAACCCCTCAGTGTCCTCAGCTTAAATAATGTACGGTCCCCTTCCATGGCCAGACCTGATGGTGATCACAGGAGGACTAGCAGGAATGACAAGTGGGAACACGTTGAAGGGTAGAAACAGTTACACCAAAGAATTTTATGCCCAAGTTCAGTTCTCCCATTCCAGATTTGAGTGCTTCCTCTTTCCAAATGTCTAGGAGGGAGCCAGAGAAATTCTTCCATCTCCTTACCTCAGCTGAGGGTAGTATGGATCGTGAACTTTGATTATGTCTCTAAAGCAGACTCTCTTGGATGTGTCCTGTGATCAGATTTTTAGAGGTGTCATAAAGAGTTTGGCCAATAGGATCCACACTGTTAGGTTGCATTCTTGACATTTAAAAATGCTTACCTTAATGGCTAACATTTATTAAATGCATCCTGGTTTCAGATCCCATGTTAGGTACTTTACACATTAACTCATTGAGTTCCTGTACTCTACTAGGCAGGTACTGTGTAGTCCCCATTTTACAGATGAGAAAACTGAAGCTTAGTTTAATTAAGTAACTTGTCTAAAGCCACTCAGGTAGAAAGTGGCAGAACCAGGGCTTTAAGCCAGGCAGGCTGATGCCTGAGATCATGGTCTTATGGTAATAATAATAATAATAATAATAACAATAATAATATATATATAACCTATGATTGTTTTGAGCCTTACCATATGCCAGGACTCTTCTTTTTTTGTGTGTGTGTGTCGTTTTCGTGACCGGTAAGGGGATCGCAGCCCTTGGTGTGGTGTCGCCCGCACCGCGCTCAGCCAGTGAGCGCACCGGCCATTCCTTTATAGGATCCGAACCCGTGGCAGGAGCGTTGCTGCGCTCCCAGCACCGCACTCTTCCGAGTGCGCCATGGGGCTGGCCCTGCCAGGACTCTTCTAAACCCTTTACATGTAATAACTAATTTAATCCACATACCAGCCTTATAAAACAAGTACTGTCATGATCTTCTTTCACAGGCTCAGCTGTAGCTGCAAGTAGGATGACAGCACAAGGCCACACCCTGGTCCCTCCCCTGCTATCAGGCTGCTGGGACCCTCAGGGACCTATCCACCCATGTGCCCACCTCCAGCTCTCCAGGTCACTCACAGCTGGGCTTGGCACTGCCCCCGGCCTGTCGCGCATGCCAGACTGTCATGCCGTCGTTCTGAAGTCTGAAGTATCTTAGCTTCTTCCAGTTTTTGGACCTCACCTTGCGCATCAGCATGCCTTCCTGCATCAGTAGCAGGTCCTGATCGGTGGTCAGCCCTGGGCCAGCAAAAGCAGGGGCTAGGTAGCCATAAGGCAGGGTAGAGGGTCTAGGAGAACCTCTGGGACAGGGGTCCTGCCTCCTTCCTTTCCCTGGGCTGTCCCCCAAACCCTCTTCCCCTGCAGATCCGGATACTCACAACCTTGCAGCAGGGATGCCATCACCCACTGCTCCACCAGCTGGCGCCAGAGTCACCTAAAGGAGCAAGGAGGAACAAAGGGCTTTGGGTGAATCTTGGAGATCAAGGGAGGAAGAGAAGGAAACCTGTGTATCCTGAATACCAACTATGTGACAGTGACTTCATCTACATAGTCTGTAGCCATTTTTACTTCTGATTTGAATTTGGTGACTTTAAAGCTTAGATAGGCTAAGAAACCTGCCTCAAATCACAAAAGGATCGGAATTTAAACTCAGATATGGGGCCGGCCCGTGGCTCACTTGGGAGAGTGTGGTGCTGATAACACCAAGGCCACGGGTTCGGATCCCATATAGGGATGGCTGATTCGCTCACTGGCTGAGTGTGGTGCTGACAACACCAAGTCAAGGGTTAAGATCCTCTTACCAGTCATCTTTTATTTAAAAAAAAAAAAAACAAAAAAACTCAAATATGTCTGATCCCAGAGCCTCTGCTCTTTCCCATGGCTAGCTCCAGAGAGGGCTAAACAAAGGGATCTGCCAAACATCCTCTTCCTTCTGAATACCTCACAATCCATCAGGTAACCTTGCTCCACACTTTGCTTGCTTCCCATCTCCTCATTATTAGGAACCACTATCTTGCTGGCTACCCCCTTTCAGAACCTGGAATCTTTCCACACACTCGTCTTCTCTTCTCTAGGTGGAATCATCCCAGCTTCCCTATCCTGGGAGCTCACTCCATGCTCCCATGTAGATTGTCCAGCTCCCAAAGAGCTAGGGCAGAGTGGTACTTCTGTCTCTTCCACAACACTTAGTTGTCTTCTTCTACCTTCACATGGAAGGCATATTCTATATTCTTTTTCATAGCATTTATTCTCACAGTTTTAATGGGCCAAAGAAGTTACACAAGTCTCAGAACTGCATTTTTAAGTTTTCTCTACCTATGAAAAAAAGAGTACCTCCTTTTAGATAAATGCTGTCCAATTTACGACCTGGCTAAGTTGTCCTAGTAGCTAATAACAAACTTCCTTTGAAAAGAACTAGAGGCTGGCCAGTTACTCACTTGGTTAGAGCATGGTGCTCATAACACCAAGGTCAAGTGTTCAGATCCCCATACTGCCAGCTGCCAAAAAACCAAAAACTAGAATATTTGCTATGTGGCGACATTGATTCTAGCTCTGCCCCTATAGAAATATTCTTGACCAGAGCATGCTGAAACTGAGAAAGCTCATGAAACATGAAGCTCTGTGCTTTTGTATAAGAAAAGGACCTACACTTGAATAGAACTACGTTGTGTTTCTTAATTTAAAATTTAAAACACCAAGGTCAAGGGTTTCCCCATACCAGCCATTTGAAAAAAAAAATTAAATCTGTAAAGTAATCATTCAATTAGTGTTCTATTAAAACACTGTGCAGTTTAATTCCTTATATTTTACAGATGAAAATACAGAAGTCCAGAAATGTGACTTAACTTGTCTGACGTCACACAGCATATTAGTGTCCTGTCTCTCTTTAGCAGGAAGACCTATAAAGTCACCCAGGAGTGACTAAGTCTTTAGGGAGAATGTGGAAGCCACTGAAAATATGGCTTCCCTAACTACAGGACCTAGAGAAGGCTTTCTTTCTTTCTTTTTTCTTTTTTAAAGATGACCAGTAAGGGGATCTTAACCCTTGACTTGGTGTTATCAGCACCACACTCTCCCAAGTGAGCCACGGGCTGGCCCTGGCTTTCTAAAACAGTAGCAATGTGCAGGTGCCCAGGGTGAGGGAAAGACTGTGAAGCATTCTCTCAGGAAACAGTCTTGTGACAGTTCCAGGAAGAAAAGATTTTGCTGGTTAAGGCTGAATATGTGTACCTGGGTAAGACCAGAAGAAACCTCTGGATGGAAGAAGGGACCCAAAGTGGGGGTGGGGAGGGAGAGAGAAAGAGAGAGAAATTGCTTCCTGACAGAAGAAAAGTATCTCTGCTTTTCTGGGTGGGGATGCAGTTTGGAATCTGAGGCTTACAGAAGCTATGTGAAGACTGAAATAAGAAGTAACAGGTCTTTCTTAAATTTCTTAGGTCCTCAGACTTTAGGGGGGCAAGGTTGGCCTGGGGCTGAAGTCTAATCTCCCTTGCCGACATCCTGCCTTATTTCCTCTCTGAACTTTAGTTCCCACCTCTGGTGCATAGGGACTCTGGGATGGGGTGAGCGTTCAGCCTGGGAGAAAACATAATTACCTTTCCTGTGTCCAGGAGCCTCACAATGAGGTCCTGAAACATGTGAACCCTGAGAAGAAAGCCCAAGTGCCTGGACATCCCTATTTTGGAGACTACATCCTCTCAAACCAGCCTTAGAAAATTATTCATTCCTCCTTTGTCAAACTCTGACATATGGCCACAAGAGTACCAGTTTCAACTCAGGGATCCAGAGTGTCAGAGCTGGGCTTCATTTTATAGAGAAAGGGAATGAGGCCTAGAAGATTAGCTGAACTGCCAGAATCACTTAATGAGTGACAGAACTGGAACTAGAACCCAGGTCTCCATACAACCAGCTCAGAGATCTCATCAAGACTGCCCTTAGGAAGAGCCTTCTCTAGGCAGGGGGTTGAAGCAAGACCAGGAATCAATGAGGGACATCAACATTTTGTTTCTCCCCTCCATCATTTTCTGTTCTCCCTGTATCCCACTGATAGCCTTTCTTTTCTTTCTTCTGTCTTTCCTTTCCTTATCCCATGCCTGACCTCATCCTTTTCCTTTCTCCCCAGCTCACTGTTCTCCCTCCTGATCCTCTGTCTCCCTATTTGCTCACTTAGATCAGCCTCTCCTTTCTCTCCTCTTCGTATCCTTCTCCTCGTCCCTTCTGCCCATCACCTCTTCCTGTTGCTTTCCTCTTTTGTCTCCACTAATTCCCAATAGCTCTGATTCTCATCCCCTTTGAAGATTTTGAGTCTGTCGTCTAGGAGGTAGGACACTTGGGTTAAGACACTCAGTAGACACCCCTCTGCTCAGCTTCACTTTTCCTTGTATCCTAGGAGATTGACTAAACAAACTGTCCAGAGAATGCGAGTTGGAACCTAGGTGTTCTAGGTCCTAGTGTTTCCTCTGGTGCCTGAAGGTAGGATGAGAAGGATGGTCACAGCTGATGCAGGTGCAGTGAGGACAGAAGAAATAAAGGGTTTGGGAGTGGGGACACTGGCAAGGGCATAGAGGATGAAGACTGAGAGTAAGAGAGATTGGGTCTTAAATATTAACTCCTAGACACATATATCAAGATCTTTGAGGATACAGATAATTACCTCTTCAATACAGATGGGAAAACAGAGACACAAATTAAGATGGGAAGTAGCCCAGGGCTGCAGAACAATATTTGGTCCTCAACTTCCAAGTGGCTTCATGTTACCTAGAGATGGACTTTGGCAGAGTCACCAATGGCACCAATGACATTACAGTGGGATTCAGGGTTTCTCAGGTCTCTCTGATGGGCAGGAAGGAAGAGAATCATTTTGTATACTCCCTGGCTTCTGGGAGGATTATGCCTAATCTGGTTCATATAAAGAGAACAGAATGGTTCTGGTCACAGGTCATAGCCCTCAGAATGTTGGAGTTTGAAGGCTCTTTTATAGTACATCTAATCCAGAGGTTCCCAGCTATGTCAATATCCCTTGGAGAGTGTCTTAAAATAGAGATTTCTTAGCCCCACCCAAAATCTACCAGATCAGAGTTTCCAAGAATATTTATTTATTTATTTATTTTTAAAAGATGACCGGTAAGGGGATCTTAACCCTTGACTTGGTATTGTCAGCACCACGCTCACCCAGTGAGAGAACCGGCCATCCCTATATGGGATCCGAACCCGTGGCCTTGGTGTTATCAGCACCGCACTCTCCCAAGTGAGCCACAGGCCGGCCCCCAAGAATATTTATTTTTAACAAGCACACCTGGTACACAGGCAAGTCTGGGAAACCCTAAAGTCTCTTCTCTCACAGATTAGGAAGTTGTGGTCTGAAGCCCCATAGCTAGTTAATGGCAGAGTCAGGATTAAAAGCAAGTGCTCTTCCCTGCACAGCATGCTGGTGGGCCAAGAAACTGCTCTGGCCCATTGAGCTGGTAAAGAACAAGGCACAGAACTCAAACCCTGGCTCTTTCCAAGGAGTCATAACGGGTTTCTGACTTCCCATGGATCTAGACTAATCCTCATTTGGCGACCCTCAACAACCTGTCAATGAATCTATGTTAAAGCTTGGCTACCCCAATCCTTTCTTCTCCCTTGTTGGGGTGGGGCTCACCTCTGAGGAGTGGCTAGGGTCAGCCACTAGCCCAGAATAGCTAAGAGGTTTCTCATTTAAATGGGTGGTTGACACAGTCGGGAGGAAAACTGTAATTGTCAAAGAAAACCAGAAGGTGGGAGACCTGTAGAGCTGTTGGGGTGGGGAAAGGAGTCTAGGGCACAGTTTAATCAGGGTGGATAAGCATCTGGAGGGCAGAGTTAGGGGTTCAGGTAGGACAGAGCTTAGAACAGAGGCTTGTCAGAGTCTCCAGGCTCTTACCGTGGGCAGGATAGCAGTCCTGTGTCTGTGAGCTATGCCTCCCAAGCTCTGTGATGCTCTCTACTGCGGGATGAGGAAGCCCAGCCTGGGTCCTTTTCTCCTTTGCTTCTCCTGCACTTGCTTGCTTCCTCCCCTCTTCTACTGCAGTTTGCTGATGTGACTGGCAGAGTTATGGTGGAGGAAAGGAGCCAGGGCGGGGAGAGGTGTGAGCTCTCTCCTCAGTCCAGCCCATCCAACTCTTAAAGGCCCAGGACGCTGGTCAGTGTGAAGGAGTAGTGGGAGTAAGGGGGGGAGAAAAGGATTAAGTTGATTGACAGCACCACATCTCCAGGGAGGAGGAGCCTCGCTGCTGTTTATCTTGATGCCAGCCCTCACTGACCCCAATCCTGCAGCAGCTCTCAAAGTGAAACCCAAGGAGTGTCTGAGTTACAGTGCTCCTGAATCACCGCTTTTCATTCTGGTGGGTCTCTGCATGTGATACTGCTCTTTGCCCTTA